TAGAACCTCCTAGCTTCTACTGATGAGAATACAGAGGCTCCAAAAAGTCTGTAAAAGCACAGAGTGGTAAGAGGATTCCTAAGCCTGTATGTCCTGAATGTTGGAGATGTTAGAATTTTGGAGACTATGGCAGCTAGAGTCACACTTTAAGAAGTGTGCAAGATCAGTTGGAAGAGTACTTGCCTAGCTAGCACACTGGGCTTCCATCCCTAGTACCACATAAACCAGAAGTGGTAGAATACACGTGTAGTCCTGGCTGTTAAGTGGGGGCAGGCAGTAGGAGCAGAAATTCACGGTCATCCTTGGCTATATAAGTAGCCCAAGGCCAGTATGTGCTAGAGACCTTGTTTTTAAAGGACAGCAAACAAGCGATGTGTGTAGAACCCTGTGTGTGTGCATTCCTGTGCTGAGGGGCTGGTGCGTGCCAGATTCTTTACCATGATCCACCCTTGTCACGCTTTGTTTTCCCTGATGTGTGCTACTTTGGGCTCAGGATGTAGCTTGGTGGTAGAGCATTTGCCACACATGGTTATGAAATATGTTTTGTGGATGTTGTAGTAGGTTCAAGTAATGAGTCTGAAAAGAAGCAATTAGTGTGTTAAGATCTTGCCAAAGCAGGTTCGGGTTTGATGACTTGTCTCACAGCAGTCTGAAAATCAGGTTCCTGGAAAACCACCCAGATTTGGTCTTTTACCTTTTAAAAAGAGAAGCCTGAAACTAATAAGGCTTGGTATACCAATGTTTATCAGTTATTGTTAGAATCCCCAGGAAATCAGAAGAGATAACCAGTTTTCTCTACATTGAACGTATAGGTAATTTGTACAAATTGTTCAGAAATTTCTGTGTGAGAAGTTACACAGATTTCTGGATGCCCTCTCTGCCCACACCCCCCTTTCATATTTGGGGATTGAACCTAGGACCTTGTATGTTCTAAACAAGTGTTCTATCACTAAGACACATGCTTAGCCTTTTTACATTTTTATTTTGAGACAGGGTCCTCCTCCTTGCTCAGGTTGAACTCCCAACCCTCCTGTTTTAGCTTCCTGAGTAGAAGAGAATTACAGACCCAGCCACATTTTCACTGACTCTGATGTCATTTTGTCTGATGGCAGCATGCAGAGCTGCACAGGCTACAACTCAATTTCTTTAATTTGAAACATAGCATCATCCAGGCCATTGGTCTTCACCCACGAATCAGATGCATAGAGACTGACTCCAAACTTACTCTTTTTTGTTTGGTTATGGTCTTGGTATATTATGTGAATTTAAGAATGTATTTATTTTTATTTTTTGTGTATGAGTGTTTGCCTATATGTATGTTTGTGTACCACTTGCATGCCTGGTTCCCATGGAGGTCAGAAGGTGTCAGATCCCCTGGAATTAGAGTGTGAGCTGCCATGTGGGTGCTGGGAACAGATCCTGGGCCCTCTGCCAGAGTAGCCACCTCTCTTAATGGGTGAGCCATCTCTCCAGTCCATCTCAGAATTTTTGTGTTGGCTCTCTCTTAAGGGTTTTCCTCTCTAAAAATTGTGTGTGTTCATTTTTATAAGTTGAACACTCGCTCTTCTGACAGTCCCACCTGGACAACGGTAAGTACATGGGTAGTGGACGGTTAGAAGATTTCTGTCTGGAGAAGCTGAGTTCCAAGGATTGCTAAGATGTGGAGGACCAGCACTAATAACCCAGGAGTAAGTGAACTGATAGTGACCGTCACTTGTGCTTGAAATCTTATTATAGCACTCCATTTTCAGGACACCTGTATAAGAAAGACCTTTTTCTTTCCTCTTAAGCAATCCATAACCCACAGCAATTTAATAGGCATTTTTTGGGGGGTTATTTGTTTGTTTTATTTTGTTTTTCAAGACACAGTTTCTCTGGATAGCTTTGGAGTCTATCCTGGAACTTGCTCTGTAGACCAGGCTGGCCATAAACTCACAGAGATCCACCTGCCTCTGCCTCCCAAGTGCTGAGATTAAAGGCATGTGCCACCACTGCCCAGCAGGCATTGTATTTTTTATAAACTGAAATGCAAATACTTTGAATCTTACAGGGTGGTATGGCTATTTGTAAAGCTTCTGCATGAATCTCTTCTTTCTTTTTTAACAAGAACAGATTTAAAAGAGCTGGTTAGGCAGTCAAGGCCTTGGGGAGATATTGTATTAGATATTGGATTTATTTTTTATATTCCAATCATGTTCCCCCTCCCTCCTCTCCTCCTCCCACTCCACCCTTCCACCTCCCATCTGCTCTTCAGAGAGGGAAATGCCTCCCCCCAGGAAGTCTACTAAAACCCATCCTCTGGTTGAGGAAGGACCAAGGCACTCCACCCCCACCCCCACCCCTGCCCCCCTTGTGTCTAGGCTGAGCAAGGTATCTCTCCATATAGAATGGGCTCTACCAAGTCAGGTTGTTAGATCTTGGACTCCCTGCCAGTGACCTCATATACTATCCCAGTCACACCATTGTCACCTATATTAAGGGAGTCTAGTTTGGTCTTATGCGGGTTCCCCATTTGTCAGAACTGAGTCAGTGATCTCTCACTAGTTCGGGCCAACTGATTCTATGGGTTTCCCCATCATGGTCTTGACTCCTTTATTCATAGTATTACTCCTCCCTCACTTCATTGTACTTCAGGAGCTTGAAGGACAGCTATTTAATAATAACGATAACAACTCCTCTGAAGGAACCAAGGCTCACTACATGAAGTCAGTACTAACAGAGCACTCCCAAGGAAAGTGGTTTTTTGGTCTTACAGGTAGAGAAGACAGTCACTCAGTTTTTTTTGGGGGGGGGGTCTAAAAGCCTTAGGATATTTAGGGGACCTAGCAGAAGAGGGATCTGTCCAAATCTATAGCTACAGCGGGTAAAATCTGGTAAAAACATTCTTGGCATCTTATCTCAAGGCAATAAACAGTAAAATGACTATAAAAAACAGCACAACACACAACTGCCTATGAAAGACTGGAGCGGGGGCTCAGTCAGCAAAGCGCTTGTTGCACAAGCTGAGCTTTATCCCCAGCAGCTACATAAGGCCCAGCGCAGTGGAGGCGGCATCTGTGCTCGGGGCTGGGAAGGCAGAGACAGGTTAGAGCTACCTGAAGCTCCATGGAGCTGAGTGCTGAGTTCTGGACCTCAGTGAGAAACTCTGTCTCAAAAAGCAAGATGGGATACCTCCTGAAGGACACTTGAGGTTGACCTCTGGGACATACATGCACCACCCACCAAAGGAACACACACACACACACACACACAGCTTAAATTATTTTTTTAAAGATCCCTTATGAAAACTTCTCACAACATGGCCTACATGGTTAGTTAATGCTTTTGCTGTACATAGGCAAACAATGAGATTTAAATCTAAGGAGACACACTTTATTGTGTGATCAAATTTTTTTCTTAGATAAAAAAGAGCTGAAATGAAGTCTATAGAGAAAATAACAATGTATTGAACAGAGGACACTCTCCGGGTTATCTGAATCTGGTTCATCATTTATCCTGATTTTAGTTTTTCTTGACATTGAGCTATTTTATTCTCTGAAGTGGTAGCTAACAGATAAGTCTTGTAAAATATGTCTACTTGTGAGATATCATCAAGAGTCTTAATGTATAAATGAGTTTATGAGTATTATGCTTTTAAAATTATGGTAAGATATAAATAGCATAAAAAGTAATTTCAATCACCTTTAAATTTAAAGTCAGAGGCACTGTTCACCCATGGCTGATATGTATGTCCACTAAACAGTAATTCTCTACTCCCCTCTCTGAATTCTCTTTCCATTCAATTATGACATCTTCTAGCTCCTTCATTATGAGGGAGATCCACTCTCTAGCACATGCCCATGTTAATATCCTTATCAGAGTCATTTTATATCTTTCTGTTCAATAATTCTAAATTTAAAAAGGATCAGACAAACCATCTAATGGATATTATATGTGGTGACTAGCCTGATTGAGAGGGCTGGAAACCAAACACTTTTAAAACCAGGCCAACCACCTGGTATCACAGCCTTTAATCCCAGCATCCAGGATACAGAGGCAGGAGGATCCTTTTTAGTTTGAGGCCAGCCTGGTCTACAAAGCTAGTTCCAGGACAATCTGGGCTACACTACACAAGAAACCGTTTCAAAACTAAACAAAACAAAGAACCCCCCCCCAAAAAAACAAAACAAGCCAAATGGATCACACTCTAAATTGATCTGCCCAATATAAAGGTGACCCTTAGTTTAATTTGAGAATTTAGGTTTGGCAATGCTGTGTCATTTGTTCAAAAGAAGCCAGCAGCTGATCATTTTGATAAGTTTTATGGTTTTACATGATGGAAACTAACAAAATATTTTACCCCCCCCCTCCCCCCCAGCAAGCACATTGCTCCAAACGCTCTAATGGAGAAGAGGCTGAAGCCTTTCCTCCCAGCGGACGGGTGACCTTGTGGTCATGGAACAGCTGCTGTGAAAGCCAGCTCACGCTTTTAAGGGTGACCACCCAGTGTTGGGAGCAGCTGCAGCTCTGCTCCCATAAGCCTGCCCTAGCTAGGTATCCCTGAGACTGGACCGGTGCCCCCAGGAAGGATCCCAGAACCAGTGATTTCTGGCTTCTGTTACCTAATCCAATCAATAAAATAAACTAAAATGGGGCCTAAGCTTCCTGGCCACCTCTATATTCTACCACTCCCTGGCCTCGGTTCCCCTAAGTTCTCAGGTTAAGAGTTGGAGTTACTCTACAGGTACCGGCCTGTGCGCCCGTGTTTGCAGATACAGATGGCAAACGGAAAGGATGAAGACTCCTAGCAGCCTGTTCTTCACCAGGGTCATACATTAGTCTGGGCTAATATGGAATTAATAGGTCTGTGTTTTTAACCTTCTACGCCGGAGCCACTGAAGGAGCTCGTGCCAGATAGAGCTAGAACCCCCTCCCCCCACCCCAGGAACAAGCAGAGACCTCAGCCGCCGCCGAGTGCGTCTCTGAGCGTCCCGACAGCCTCCCTCCCCAGCCTTGCTCACCAGCTGTCCCTAGAGAAGGCACGGAGGAACCAGACACCCGGAGCCAGGGAAGACCGCATCTTGCGTGGGTGGTACCCGGAGCTGGGACGACAGAGGGTACAAAGCTGGCGCGCGTCCCCGTCGCGGTCGACTGTGGTTTAAATGCCCCGCCGGCTGGCCCGCCCCAGCCAGGCCCATGGCCGGAGCTCCCGCCCCTTGCACCTGACCTCCCTGCCCTCTGGGTTGCAACGAACTGCAAACCCTTGCTATCTCTCTGCGTTCACTGAAAACTGTTTTCTGTGCACTACCGCCTGTTTTCTTGAACTTTCTATCAGCGTCAGAGATCGATAGTCTGAGTTTCCTGGGGCTCCTCTTTCTGGTCTGTGCTTTTCCGTTTCACTACTCGCGGAGGATAGGGAACTGAAAACAGCAATCCTACAAGTCATCAACTCTGTGTGACATCCTGTTTCTGCAGTGCTACCTGTCTTGATTGATACTGTGCCGTGACAGAGTACAAATCAGGCACTCTGTGAGAGTTAGCGCAGTGGGACCAGTGATCTGAGTGTGGGCGCTCACCGAGAGCCCTGGAAGTGTCTCAGGGAGGAAAAGTATTTAGCCCCAAACCCACATCTCAGGTCTCTGGTCCTGCCTGCTCAGATTCCAAACTGCTTACTAAGCCAGTGGGGAGCCTTCCCGAACCTCCACTAGATACCCATTGTTCTGCTGGCAGTAACAATGTTGCTAGTACTCCAACCTCCGCTTTAGAGGCAAGCAGCCAGGTGGCAGTGAAGAGCTACAAGGAAGGGTCTTCAGTGCTCTTAACAATGACTACCTGTAGCTTGAAGACAGCAGGGTGTATTCCCACCTATAAAGAGAAGCTATGCTGAGATTCTTGTATAGGAAACCAAGGGCGAAATACAGAGAAGGAAAGCGACGGGGGTGGAAAGGGAAGTATTCGCCTGAAAAGTAAACTTGTTAATAGAATATAAAATAGGAATGTGTCTGTGCAAATGGGTTTCAGCCCTAACCCCACCCACCCCTAACTCCTAGGAGTGCCCAGTCCTCAGAGCAAGGTCAGGGAGGTGCAGCAACAGCTCCACCAAACAGGGAGGGCTCAGGGTAATGTGTTTGGCTAGTCAGCCCTGGTATCGAGAAGAAAGAGGGTGAAGAGAGTTGTAAAACCCTCAGATAGTACCAGCAGTTGGGAGTATGGGTCTAGTGCCAGAAATAAAGGCAACAAGTCAAGGCCAGGGGTAAAGGGTTAGAGGAAGAAGAAAGGCAATAGACAGGAGGCACAAATAGCAGGTCCCGTAAAATACTGGAACACAAAGAGTATCTATCACGTAGAGTGGCTCAGTCAAAGCCTTAAGTACACCACCCAGGGTCTAGGGAGATGACTCAGGAAAAGCACTGGCTCTGCAAGCATGAGGACCTGAGTTTGAATCTGCAGCACCCACATAAAAAGCCAGGCATGGCTTCCTGTGCCTATAACCTCAGCACTAGGGGATGAAGACAGGCAGATCCTTAGCATCTCACTGGCCAGTCAGGCAGCCTATACCAGAGTATTTGTAATGGAGAATGATAGAGGAAGACACTCATGATCCCTTTCTGGCCACTGTTATGTTCATGCACAGGCAAATGCACAACACATCACACACACACACACACACATACTGTGACTAAGTGCCTCCCTTTCTTACCATCCAGTGAAGTGGGAATTATCAAAATAGGTAGTGTTGTAATTCTTTTAAAAAGTGATGCAAAAGAAAGATGTCATGTGACAGTTCAAGTCGAGGGTTTTTTTGGGGGGGACCATAAAAAGGGGAAATGGGAGAGGGGATACAGGCCTCCGGGGACAGGAACAGCAGGAGAGAGGAGACAGAGACAGAGAAAGGGAGAGAAAGAAAAGAGAGGATGTAGTGAATGTGCCCAGGTGGTTGGTCTCTTAGTGGCTGTAGCTGAGGGCATACCCTATCAGAACCCCAAGGACAGGCCAGTACAGATGTCTGAATACTTACAGGTAGCATGACTGGAAGCTCTCCTTTGCCTGGGGCACCCCAATCCCAGGTGATAAACACCCCTGCTAAAAAGAAGACACACTACAGGAGTGAACTGGCCTCTTCAGAATCATAGGTACTGGTTCCTAGGGGACTAAAAGGAGGATCAACTTGGAATACAATAAACCAAGGAAGCTGCTGGTTGGTCATCTGGGGTCACTCAGTAGGTGGCTGTCAGCAGAGGGATGGAAGAGACCATCTTCACGGCTTCTGTGGGGCTATCCAGGCTTGAGCAGTACAGGACAGCTGTCTTTCCACTTCAAAGAGGAGTCAAGGAAGAAGGCTCACTAGAGTGTGTTTTGCATGCTCTTTAAAAGTGTGCTGGTGTCTTTTCGATAGTCATGTTTGCTGGGCACTGGAACTGTATGACTATGCCACCACTATGTGCCAACCTGGGAGCAGAGCCAGTTCTCAAACAGTTTTTGCCTTGTCTAAATCACTGCCTATGGATTTGGGCCATGTATCCCTGTCGAGGGGCCAGGATGGCAACTGGGACATGCCCATCATCACTGGAACCCACTCACACATGCTCCTGTGGGTGACCTAGATGCTCTGCTTCCTGCAGCCTGAGAGTGACAAAGAGGGGTATCACAACTCAGGTATTCCTTTTCCTCACTACCAGCATCTCTCCACTTGTGCCTCAACTTCCTGTTGTTATCTGGCACCCCACACAACACCATCTCAAACCCTGTGGGATGTGACTGGTGCTTGAAGAAATGAGGAAGGGAGGAGCCAGCCACTGAAGGAAAATACCCTAGTTCTTGGTAGGCAGACCTCTAATTACTATGGTTCAGTAGCAGGCACTTGTGAGGAAGAGGCTCAATGGCCATTTTACCCATGAAGCATCAGTTCCAACTGCTACTGAGTTTAACTGATCACCCGTGTGACTTTCTGGACCACTAGTGAACTGTTTAGATGCTTTTAGATATAATAATGAATGTCTTCCTTGATTTTATCAAAGGGATAAAAGGCCTTGAATGCTCCTAAATATTGGAGACCAAATGCCAGATTACCAGGCAAAAGAATGCAAATGTCAGTACACACACAAACATTTAAAAGTGCATTTACCTCCTCCCATTTCTATCTTATAAAACAGACAACAGAACCATGTCTCAGAGATGTGACTGAAAGGGCAGGAAGTCAGGATATTAGGAGAAATCTAATACTAGGATTTTTCATTGAGAGACAGATTGGTATATAAAATTATAACAGTTTGAAGGCAGGGACAATTCTGGCTCACATACAACTCAACTTCAGTTTCCATGTCTACAGAACAAGGATAACAACTATACTACAAAGTGGCTGTAATAACTAGAAATTACTTATATGAAACTATGTAATAGCTCCTGACATGTTCAGTAGGTCTTGTAAGTGATTATGAGAAGTCATTGGGTTGGGTTTCTTACAAAGAGTTGATGTATATGATGGCACAGCTTTGTCTTGCAAAATCCCTATCAATGTGTTTGTATATACATTCAGCTTAGCTCACTGGTTACAGGAAGCACTGTGATAGCGCATGTGGAATAACTTGGGGGTTGGCAAAGATGTATGTAGGGTTAAATGCAGTATAGAAAAATGAAAATGCTATTGTCTTAAATGTTAGATGCTGAGCTCTCACTACAAAGTTACTATTAAAATCTTCACAGCCAAAAACAAACAAGATGATCCTATTGAAAAGGAATCCGTGTCTCCATAAAAGCTACAGTTCTGAAATGCCTGCCCAAGAAAACCCCTACCTTGATAAAGTAGTTCCCAACAGGGCTTCAGTTTCCTGAGGACTGGCCTCTGGGTTTGTAATAGTCTCAGGAACTGCTGGCTCAGCCTCCTCAGGACACTAGTGGAGATGCAGATAAGGGACAGCACAGCCTGGGGGTCATTGCAGAAGGGTAAACAGTATGGCAGAAATGTTAACTATTATAATTTTCAAAGCTTCTTGGTTTAAGGGGAAACTGGAAAAGGAAAAAATGGCAGTGGTAAAAACGAGTTTGTCTCAGTAGGCCTAGCCTTGCAGGTTGCAGAGTCTCTGGGTGAAGAAATGATTTAATAAACATTTGTTCAGTGTCAGCTCTGTGCTGGGCTGAGGGCAGACTGACGAATAAAAGACACAGTGCCTTACATCAAGGAATTTACAGTTAAATAGGTCAGAGATGTGTATAGTGCAACCCACTGCAAGGTAAGTTGGAAAATCAATGCAAACAAGAAACAGGCTACAGAGCATGCTCATACTGCTAGGGTAGTCCTGAGATGGGATAAAATACTTCTAAATCTCAGAAGGCATCTAGATTGGATGGCTGGCTAGCTGCTTACCAACTAGGAAAGATGAGAAGGTGGGACCCACAGAGTACATCTGCAAAACACCACACCCTAAAAAAAGAATGATTGGACAGGGAGTTCTGCATAGCTGGCAAGCACATGTGCGTGGTGGAAACCTCAGAAGAAATGGCTGTTCTTAACTGTAGTTTGGCACTGAAGAGCAGCAAACGGCCATGATGGCTGAGACTTTATCCTTTGGGCAGCAGGTTTTTATGACAAGAGGGTTCCATGTTTTAAGCAGCACTTTGGAGGCAGAGGCAGGGACATGAATTCTAGGTTAGCCTGGGCTACATGAACACTGCCAGAAGGGAACAAGGGAAGCACCCAGACAAGTTAACCCTGTCCAGTCAAAGGATGGATGCAGCAAACAGCAAACAGTAACCAGCCCATGCCACCCACACAGGAGAGAGAACACTGAGCCCTCCATGCCTGTTAGCCAGGACTATGGGGAACTCAGACTTCTCCTTACACCTGTCTATGACAGATCCCCTTGCCCTGAGGTGACATCTGTGAACTCCAAATTTGAATTCACTTTCACCTCTTCCAATGGTAGTGAGTCCACACCAGGCACCAAAGTACCCCTGGAGGTCCTGAGGGAACAGTTAGAATGTCTGTTGTTCTCCCTCCCATATGACTGTCAACAGAGGCCTAGTCAGAATTCTCACCCATCCTAACAGCAATGAGGTACACTTGGCCCCACAGGGTTGATAATGAGGACCTACACTTTTACCCTTGGCACCTAGCAGACCCCCAGAATATACTGTGACTTTCCTAGAAAGTGTAAGCCTCGAGTTGGTAAGATGGCTTAGCAGAGGAGATGCTGCCAGGTCTGACAACCAGAGTCAGTCCCTGGAACTCACAGGATGGAAGGAAGGAAGGAAGGAAGGAAAGAATTCACTTCCAAAAGTTGTCTGCTGACTTCCACACGTGCACTGTGGAACGTGAATGCATGCATGCAGACAGGTTTTTTTTTTATGGTTTTTCGAGACAGGGTTTCTCTATATTGTTTTGGAAGCTGTCCTGGAACTCGCTCTGTAG